TCATTTCTACCTTCTCCTCTCTGTCAACGCTCTCTGGTTTCATTTAAAAGAGTCGATCATCAGATATTGTCCAAGATTAACCTTCAGGGTTTATATAGCTCGCTCACACTGAGGACCTATCCACGTCATCATTTACCCAGAATGCTTTGCGTGTAAATAAAATGTCCCCTTCAGTGTGATAGTTTTAAACTTTTTGTTTAAAAATTATAAGCTCCATCATATAGTATTAAACATCTTATTGTTCCATACTTTCCTAACAGAGCACTTCGCTCTCAGACTGCAGGTTTACTTGTGGTTCCTCAAGTTTCTAAAAGTAGAATGGGAGGCAGAGCTTTCAGTTATCAAGCTCCTCTTGTGGAACCAACTTCCAGTTTCTGTCCATGAGGCTGACTGTCTACTTTTAAGATTAGACTGAAGACTTTCCTTTTTGATAAATCATATAGTTAGACAGGTTTCCTGAATTATTCTTCATTTCTGCTGCTATAGACTTAGACTGCTGGAGCACAAACTGAGCACATTTCCTCACTCTGCTGTTGTCTTTAGTCTCTCTTCTCTACGTTTGTTGTAATTATTTCTATCATGTTTTGTCTTTGTCTCTTTTCCAGAAGAAGGTGCACCTGGACCAGTCCTGGACCAGTTCTTCTGTGCTTACCTGTGTCTCTTTCCTGTCCCCCAACCAGCCGATCGAGGCAGATGGCCGCCTGTCCTGAGCCTGGTTCTGCTGGAGGTTTCTTCCTGATTAGCAGGGAGTTTTTCCTCTCCAACCTTTGCTCAGGATGGGAGACTGTGATGAAGTGATTCAACGTAGCCTGCTGGTTTCTTCTTTAGATAGTTTTTTTTTCATGTACAGTGCCCTGAGACACCATATGTTGTGACTTGGCGCTATATAAATAAACTGAATTGAATTGAATTATAAAAACTAAACAGCCTACAGTACTTTTACAGTCTTTATTTTACAGTTAAAATATATGTTTATCAAATAAAGTCTAATGTTACAACTAATCATAGATCCCTTTAAATAAAGAAGTAAACTAGTTTAACGGAGCAGGTTCTGAAGCCTCGTACCTTTCATTTTTATGTGGAACTTTCCCAGCTGGTTCTGCAGCTCGCTCTCCAACACACACATGTTCTGCAGGAAGGAAACATTCAGTCAGACTTTTCTGCACATGCAGGTCGCTGATGATTAGTTGTTGCAGTGGTTCTAACACTTTATACCATGCTATACTGTAAATAAGTGTTCATGAAGCCTGAAGCATGGTCTAACACTGAGAGCAGCCTGCTGTCAGGTGAAAAAAAATAAAAATACCTGCTTATAAAATAACCTTATTGTTGGTAATGTTTCCTCTCACCTCTGTGTACTCCTTGTATTCTTTACTGGCCTCCACCAAACTCTCCCTGGCCTCTCTGCTTCCTGGAGAGGCTGTGAATGCCTTCATCATCTTGTTGGCTCCGTCCCTCAGCCTCCTCTGCAGGCAATAAGCTTCATACAGCTCCTCAATCTGTGAAAAGAAGATTTTAAAAATTACATGTTTTATCAAATAATAGTCTTTTACAGTAGGGTAAATGTGCACACATCACTGAGGAAGAAAATAAACTGGTTTCAGACAGAAAGCTGTTTTATGTCTGTCCCTGGCGATATGTCACATTCATTTTTTTTATCTGTCAACTCTGCCTGCACTGAGAACAACCTCAACTTTGTACACAGACTGATAGTCCTTAAACATCTCCTGCAGGGACCCCAAAGTACTGCAGGGGGGACAGGATCATTAGCCTCCTTCAGATCCACAAAACATAAGTAGACCGAAATGTGGAATTTTAGACTAAAGTGATGAGAATTTCTTAGATTTCCCCGTACTGTCAGACTTAAGTGTAAAAGTAAATTATCAAAATTTCTTAGTCTAAGAATACCCCTTACTTTCCCAGATAGTTAAGACTGCTCCAGAGGACTCTTAAGTGGTAAAGAGTTGCCACTAGAGATGGACTGAGAAGATGTTTTCCTGCCCACCTGAGTGTGACTCTCAGTTATTATGTACAGAGGAACTACAATAAAGGTGTGGAAAACAGGTTTAGTCATCAATACAAAAGAAAGAATTAAGGGAAAAATTATTACCAGTGTGCATAATGTTTGACCTGTAGGAGATATTTCTGTGCAGTTTTTGGAGAAAGTATTGTATGCTCTTTTTTATAGGCAGGAGGGTGAGAACTTAACATTTCCTCAACTTCTGAGGTATGAAAAAAATCTGAAGCAGAGTTTTTGAAAAAAAAACAAAAACCTGAGATATTCTCTACATGTCTGGACTCATGCAAAATGAGGAAATCTGTGTAATTTATAACAACCAACATGACATGTTTGAACATTAGTGTGTTAAAAAGTGAACTTATCTTAGTTTTCACAGTTTTCTCCTGATATTTCTCAGAGAATATTCTTGAACATGATATCCGAGGCAGTGATTGGTTCATGTCTGGGTTTTGTAATGATGTCATCCAAGATCAGCTTTGCGGCACAGCAAAGTGTTGTAAATCAGCTCTAAGACTAACACTTAAGAATTACTCTTACACTTTGCTTAAAGTGAGACTGAGACACTTGATAAATTACTTTTAGCCTCGGCTTTTAGCTAAGATTTTTTTCTTTACACTTAAGTCCATTCTTAACCGCATTCTTAAGAGTAAATCTAAGTAGTTTGATAAATACGAGCCCCGGGCACATATTTATCCAATATTACACACTGTATAATCAATTTTTCCCCTGATTTATTTTGTATTACACATCCAACCCATAACACTAATTCACACCTTATTTTAGCAACTCTGTACATTGTAACTGAGACTAACACCAGGCACCCGCTTCGGATGTTATCATCCATTAAATGGACATTATTAGCCATTATCAGTCCCATAGAATGGCTTCAGACTGTCAGCTGGTTAATATGAGGCATAAAACCACTAAGGTTAATTTTAGAGAAAATTACATGGATAAAGTCGACCAGACTCCGGTTGTAGCAGATTGTTGCATTCCAACATATATGGCACTGGTAACCCACCAGGGGCACTGTCGGGACAGTCTGAAGCCATTCAATGGGACTGATAACCACTAATAACGTCCATTTAATGGACTGATAATATTTGAACCGACTGACTCAGATGGGGGACCCCCATGCATTATTTGAGGAGATGCAGTGATGCAGGACAGCTGTGATCTCTGTCTTCGCAGACCTCTAGTAGCAACTTTTAACTAGCTGTGACCTCTGGAGCTGTCTTAAATATCTAAGAGTGATTCTTAGATTTTAGAATTTTGATAACTTGCATTCACATTTAAGTCTGAAAGCAGGAGTAAATTTCATAAATTCGCAACTCTTCAAAGTAAAATTCCACTCTAAAATGTTTGATAAAAATGGACCCTGGTCCACTTTTCTACAAGCAGGATAACAGTGTCAGGTTTGGTAGGAGGCAGGAACAAGTTCAAAAACAACACTGACTCATTATTAAAAGGGAAAACAACAACTAAAAAACTGACAACTCAGGAGATCACAGACTGTAGTATGAAGCTACCAACACACCACTGATATGGAAATGAAACACAGAATAAAGACAAGGTTAAGTAAGAGGACCACAGCTGGAACTAATGGAATAAGGAACAGGAGGAGCGCTGAGAAGACGACCAACTGAGGCTACAATGGAACAAATGAAGACAAGAGAAATAAAAACACAGAATGATCTAAAACTCTAAAAACTGTCAAAAATGAACCAAAAACACACAGATCAGAAATCCACACATCTCCTGTTGCTTTGATGAAGGTCTTACCTTGCTGAGGTGAAACTCCAGGCGTCTCACGTACCTCTCAATCACCTTAACTTGCTGTCAGAGAGAAGCAAAGTTATTTTACTCTGACTGCTTCTTCAGTCATGCCTAAAAACTTAATTTCCTTTTCAGCAACATTTAAAGAAAAAAAGAGTAAGAAAAGTAACTCACCTTGTCTAAGTCATACAGGAACCCCTGAGGAGAAAGAAAACATTGTGTCATTATGAGGTGAAGACTCTCAGTCATCCAGGACATGGAAATTATTAAGTTTATTTGATAGGGACAGACACACAAACAACATAGACAGAATAAGACAACAGTCCCATTGCCTGTATCATGGTGCTTATAGCGTGAGCTAATTTGCAGCACTTGTCCCTAGATGGACTCTTATAAACAGTGCACCCACAGTAAATCCAACAAGTTAAAAAAAATCAAACTGGACTTCACTTCTGAAAAAAAAAAATTCTACACATCTGGGAAGATTTCTCAAATCAAAACTGTGGAGTGTGGAGTTCCAAGCTTTAAACTACAGGAGATAATCTGTTCTGTCAGTTTTATTTGATCATTATTTAACCAGGAAAATCCCATTGAGATCACAGATCTGTTTTGCAAGGGTGGCCTGGGCCTGAAGATAACCTATTGTTTTTGTGATTCATTAAACTCCTCCCCCCCCTCACATTGTAAAGTTGTTGTGGTCTTTGTCAGCCTGACTCACAGAAAAGATGCTTTAATCACACGCTCCATGTCAGCTAGGACTAAAACATCACCCTTTCACCAGCTGACAAAAAAGATGTACAGTTCTCCTCAACACTTCTGAATACAAAAAGAAAAAAAAATTGTATAGGTCTTCTGGACGGGTTCTTCTCTAATGAAATGTTTCGTCTCTCCTCCAAGAGACTTCTTCAGTCTGAGAGTTTCAGGCAAAATTCAGGCTTTTAAGCACTGCCTCCATGTGACTGATACTCACATCACATGGCTATCGTTGACACCTAATTAACACTTATTGTTAACAGGGGTGCAGTGATACTGGCTATAGCAGCACTGTAGGAGGGGGACAACTGAAAACGGAGGCCTCCACCTCTGTTTAATGATGGACGGTCTTTCTTCACAAAAATGTCTTCTTTGACTCCTCTCTCAAACCAACGTTCCTCTCTATCAAGAATGAGAACATCCTCATCTCTGAAAGRGTGACCGCTGGCCTGTAAATGAGTGAAAACTGCAGAGTTCTGGCCATTAGATGTGGCTCGTCTGTGTTGGGACATTCTTTTGAACAGTGGCTGCTTTGTTTCCCCGATGTATAACTGGTCGCAGTCCTCCTGGCACTTAACAGCATATATAATATACTAATGGCCAGAACTCTGCAGTTTTCACTCATTTACAGGCCAGCGGTCACTCTTTCAGAGATGAGGATGTTCTCATTCTTGATAGAGAGGAACGTTGGTTTGAGAGAGGAGGAAAAGAAGCCATTTTTGTGAAGAAAGACCGTCCATCATTAAACAGAGGTGGAGGCCTCCGTTTTCAGTTGTCCCCCTCCTACAGCGCGGCTATTGCCAGTATCACTCCACCCCCTGTTAACAATAAGTGTTAATTAGGTGTCAACGATAGCCATGTGATGTGAGTATCTGTCACATGGAGGTAGGGCTTAAAAGCCTGAATTTTGCCTGAAACTCTCAGACTGAAGAAGTCTCTTGGAGGAGAGACGAAACGTTTCATTAAAGAAGAACCCGTCCAGAAGACCTACACAATTTTTTTCTTTTTGATTTTTTACCTGGATTACTGAGATGCATCAGGACACTTCTGAATACCATGAAAAAAAAACGTATTTCTCAAAACCACCACCACCACCTACTCCGCAACTACCTGCAAAAGCCTGGAAATCACAAAGCAATCAATCAATCACCGTGATACAGAATATATCCCAGAGAAACCACTCCGTGTTTTTATAAACTTTCCCAAAATTCAGAAAGAAGGAGCACCTCTCAGACCCATAAACTCTGTGGCATACAGTGTGATGATGTAAACATCTTGCTGGTGTTTTAGCTCTTCTTGTTGGAAACACCACATCACCAAGAGAACAAAGAAAGTCAAACAGCATGGTGGCTCAGATGGTAGAGCTGATGCCTCTCAGCAAGAAGGTTGCTGGATCAAATCCTTTCTGGGTAAATTTTTCATGTTCTCTCTGTGAATGTCTGGGTTCTCTCCTCCCACAGACCAAACACTTGACTGTTAGGTGAATTGGTAATTCTAAATTGCTTGTAGGTGTGAGAAAGAGCGTGAAATGTTGTTTGTCCCTGTGGTGGACTTGTGACCTGTCCAGGGTGTACCCCACCCCTTGCATATGGATACGAGTGACCCTGAAAGGAAGAAGCAAGTACTGTATGGACGATGGATGGAAGTCAAACATCTGAAGCTGGCAGCAGAAACCCTTGTATAGTTTAATGTCACTTCACTTTTCAGGAAACAACTTCAACAAGATGATAACCCAGCCTGGACCAGTTCTGTACCCTGCTGGATCTTTATCTTCCCACCACAGATTTTATCTTTAATGACAGTTTTTACAAACATAGAAGAAGTGGAAAAAAGCTCTGAACTATGAGAGAACAACACAGAGCAACTGGTGCAGATACTGGGTACAAATCCAAACTAAGGAAGCAGAAGTTCATCAGGCACATGTGCCGACAACATGAAGTTCACCTGAGAGGATACCAACAACAGCAACCTGCCTTTGTGGGACCTCTCTCACACCAACCCACACAGATCAGTACCTTCTGCTGGACTCTCAGTGGAACACAAACATTCTTATTTACAGACACTTGGCTCAACACAGAGCCAGGTCAGGACAAGCACAAGACTCATCTGTTCACCTGCACCTCACAGATAAGAGACACTCTTAAAGGGAACCACGATTAGTTGTAACATTAGACTTTATTTGATAAACATTTATTTTAACTGTTAAATAAAGACTAAAAATACTGTAGGCTGTTTAGGTTTTGTAAATTTTTAAAAGTATATTTTAACATGGACGGGGCCATTTTATTTATATGCAAAGCATTCTGGGTAAATGATGATGTGGATAGGTCCTCGGTGTGAGCGAGCTATGTCCACCCTGAAGGTTAATCTTGGACAATATCTGATGATCGACTCTTTTAAATGAAACCAGAGAGTGTTGACAGAGAGGAAAAGGTAGAAATGACTCAGCCTGGAACTGAAAATATGGATGGAGGACAACAGAGCTGCTTCATGGAAGAAGAACCTCAGCTTAGCCTGTTAGTTTTAGTGCCGACGCTATATTGCCTTATATGTATTAGCTCGGTGCTAGCACGACAAACAAGCTAAACTGAGGTCCTCCATCCATATTTTCAGCTGCAGCCTGAGTCTTTTTTGTGTTCCCCTCTCTGTCATGTGGATGGAGGACCTCAGTGACGAGAGGAGAATGTGTAGCACTGAGCTAATACATATATATGGTGATAGCGTCAGGGCTAACGCTAAAGCTAACAGGCTAAGCTGAGGTTCTTCTTCCATGAAGCAGCTCTGTTGTCCTCCATCCATATTTTCAGTTCCAGGCTGAGTCATTTCTACCTTCTCCTCTCTGTCAACGCTCTCTGGTTTCATTTAAAAGAGTCGATCATCAGATATTGTCCAAGATTAACCTTCAGGGTGGATATAGCTCGCTCACACTGAGGACCTATCCACGTCATCATTTACCCAGAATGCTTTGTGTGTAAATAAAATGGCCCCGTCCGTGTAATATATTTTTACACTTTTAGTTTAAAAATGATAAAAAGTGAACATCCTACAGTATTTTTACAGTCTTTATTTTACAGTTAAAATATATGTTTATCAAATAAAGTCTAATTTTACAACTAATCATGGATCCCTTTAAACAGACAAACGGTTCACATTTTGGACAGAGAAGGCAGATGGTTTGAAAGGGGCTGAGAAGAACACCATTTACATCAAACAAGAGAAAAAACATCCCACTGCAGATTTTATCTTTCTAAATCCCACAATGGAGCATTAAACCTTGTACCCAGTCATATTCACATTCATTCAAAAAGTTTCATCTACAGGTGAATTCAGCTGCATAAACACAACACATCATGCAGTTTAAAGCTTGAAACTATAGTTTGGAAGAAATCCAGTTCTTTTTTTTAACTATTGGGATAGATATTTTATTGCAAATCCCAAACCCACAACATACCAGTCTGGAGTTTCTTTTGGATTGTTTTATCTGTTTGTTGAGGTTATTTAGGTCCTTCTGATAAGCCTGCAGGCAAGACCTAAGAAGAAACACACCAAGCCAGGTTAGAAAGACCTTTCCATCCCTGTGGAGAGAAGAGTTGAGACCTGATGCAGCATCAACCAAACTATCCTTCAGACTGAAAGATGAGTCTGTGTTTGCACAAAGCACACTTACCGAAGGCCTCTCTTCAAGGCCTCGTAGGCTTCGTCTAGTCGCTCTGGTTGAGGAACTTTAGGTGTCAGGCTGGACTTAGTGGACATGGTAAACATCAGACTGGCTCTGCTGGACTTCCTGGTGAGACCAGGAGTGCTGAATGCTGAGAGGTTCCTGCGGTTGGACAACATCATCAGTGTTAGAAACTGTAACGACCTCCTGATCAGTGTGATCAAGTCGTGTCACTGAGTGGAGCCAGCATCGTGTTTTTGGATGTGTTGATGGGAAAGTAAAGAGCTCTAACTTGTGTTATAGACATGAACACTGGTTCTTTTGCACCGATATATTTTTGCACACATTCAGACTAGAAGACTCCTAGTCCAGGAGCTGGAGAGTTTTTTTGAAACCAATCAATGAATAAACATCTATAACTGATTCATTTTCAGTCAGTCCAATTAAAGATGGCTGCCACAGCTAATCAAACTTATCTAATAATTCAGTTTTAAATGTGATGAAGTAAAGTGTGCATGGTAGTAATCAGGGTTATGCAATAAAATATATTGAGGTTGGATTTAGATTTTCTTGCTCCAATCAATCACAAAAACAGTATAAATGACAATTTAAAAAATGTTTTTTTTTCATATTATATCCACTTTAGAGCAGGCTCTTTCTGTGTGAGACAAACTGAGGGGCTGCATTCAGTTTTACCACCAAGTTAATTTATAATGAAACAGTCCATATTAACACGTTCTGTGTGGTTTGAAAGAACATTTTGTCAGTACATGAACACGTATGCGGCAGCTGGAAGACTCAAGTCAAACAAAGCCTTGTTTACACTGCAGGAAAAACTGACGAATCAGAATTTTTTGTTTTGCTTATGTCCTTATATTAAAATTTTCATGACGATCTGATTGTGACTAATCAAATTTTTGCAAATTCGACCAAGATTTTTTTGTTTGTGGCACTAAATCAGATATATAATGTATTTTCCCCCCGCTTAAATAATGAACGTGTAAGGAACTTTTATTTCCTTTTTTTACTTTAGAAAAAAATAACTGAATTTTTTTCAAGTTATAAATGTCTTTCAGGCATATTTTTAAGCAGATATTCTTTTACTAACTCCTTTAATGTTTTGGTGATCTGAAACCTCTTTTGCTTTGTTTTTGTTGAAAATTTAGAATAATTTCTATTTACTTATTTAAATGTTATTATTCAGACTGTTATGTGCTTCAGGCACATTTGATCTATTTTTGCTTTTTTCTAGATAATTTTTGTTTATAGTTGGGTATTTTTGTCCTTTGGTTTTTTTTAGAGGAAATATTGTATTTTTAGAATTGGTTACTTCTTATAGTAAAATATTTTTATTTAAAGGCTCTGATTGGTTAGCTGCTGTGCCCGCCTTTAAATAGGGCTGGTCCTTAGCTCTTTTTTGGCCTTCTCCACCCTCCTCTGCTCACCTTTGTTGGTGCTGATTTCACTCAGCTGACTGCAGGTGAGCCTATATATATA